TGTGTGTGTGTGTGTGTGTGTGTGTGTGTGTGTGTGTGTGTGTGTGTTATAGCGGGGACTGTAATAAACAATATTAAATCAAATATTTAATAATTGAAAATATTTTTCATAGAAACATACTTATTGTGTACTAACATCTGTGTTTAATGTGTATATGAGTATAATTGTAATTTTTTAAAAAATCATCTGAAATTTTATATTAATTGAATCAAATCAATGTTAAGTTCAAGATTCACACTCGATATTCTGTAACTTTAAAAAAAACATTTCGTAAACCGTGCAGGGTCACGGTGCTACATGCAGAGAGGCCGATCAGGATGGTCAGAGGAGTGAGACGCACAGCTGAACTCAAACACAATTTGTGGGTTTCTTTATTTCCAACCCTGCATACAGACTGACTTTGAAGTGCCATTGTTATTCTAGTCTGGCCCTGTGGGAAACAATAAAAAACACTCCCCTAAATCCAATTTATAAGCTGTAAGCTTATCAGTGTGTCCATGGCAAACTGCACTGAGTAGTTCAACACATTAAACGGACTAAACTGCATCGTCTGACCATGTGACCTAACAAACGTCTATACTGTCTTCGGTCATCTGTAAATGTAGTATATGCTCACAGCGAGTAACCATGTACGCATGCAATGCAATCTGTGTCTGAGCGTATGCCACCCAGCGGGAGAAGATTGAAGCAATAGTGATTGTCTAGTGTTTACAAGAAACAGCCATCTCCTTCCCCTCTTGCTAAACATCATAGAGCGTGTACCCACAGCAGTGATGGATTATATCTCTTTCATTGTCATATTTTCTTTTTTTCTGTCATCAGTCAGGATTTTGAATTGGCGTTGTGCTGTTTTCATATCAGCTGTGATTTACTGAGAAAGATAGGGAAACATGTCCCTCAATCAATTTTGAATACTGAAAACTTGCTTGCGACTTTGAATGGAGGTGGTTAGGCAAAAGTATTTAAAGGGACAGTACACCTCAAAATCTAAAATACATATGTTCCCTCGTATAGCCGTAGTGCTATTTACCAATCTTCTTCTGCCTTCTCTCATACAGTATATACTGGGACTATATGACACCCAGCTTGGTATGAAAGCATGCAAGGTTTCCTGCATGAAACTGCTCATAACAGGGTCTGTGAATTTTCTTGAGTTTTTGAGGTTTTTTAGCACCATAAGCTGAGTGCCATGCAGTCCTATTATATTTGAGAGAAGGCAGACTTCTCTGTGGCCGATATCTGGAAAACCAGGCAACTCACACCAAAACAATGTAGATTGATAAAAAGCACGACAAGTAAGACTTTTTATTTTGGGGTGAAGAGTCCCTTTAAAGTGTTAGTAAAAAGGCCCTTAAAGGGTCAGTTCATCCAAATTACAAAACGAAACATCCTTGAGTAAGTGGGAAAGTTACAGTTTCATTTGCAAATGTTTTGATGTCACTGAAAGCTCTGGACTATGTCTCCTTAATGTCCACAGCCAGTTTATCAAATTATCCTGAGAAATCGGGGGTTTGTTTTTGTTTCTGCTTGATATTTGTCATTTCTTCACTCTCTGGACGTCACTAGTGGATTTCTATTCACATCCATTTTCTCGGGGCAGCAGTAAGTCTCAATGGCAAATATTTTGAAACCTTTGCAACAGCTGAACCTCTCAATTACGTAATCTGAAATGTGACACAATCTTTAATTCCCTTAACATTCCTGGGACATGATTTCAATGTCGAGTAGGTGGGCATACGATAGGCTTTCTAGAGATGTCTCTTGAATTGTATGCAAGACATGAGGAAGTGTGCAAAAGCAAGATGTGTGACAGCAAATGTGACAAATGATCAGGTAATTTGACTTACATATTTTCCTCTCCAATAATACAGAAAGCAGAGAGAATTTTGACAATCTCGGTCATCATGCTGGTCTGTTTGGGGTCAATCGCTCGTGCCAACAGCAACAGGCTCCGCTCATCTCCCAAGATCCTTTGCAGTCCATACTGTGAGATACGGAAGGGAGGAGGTAGGATACAGAAAAGGTCCATTGAGGATAAATTAATGAGAGCATTTGCATGTATGGAGAACTTTCCCTTCAAGTGAGAAAATAATTATAAAAAGAAGCTAATATACGTAATTTATAGTTAGCCTTAATTTTCTTTTAAGGAGGGACAACGAGGCCATGGGAGGAAATGGAGAGGATGATGAATTAATTCAATTCAGGACAGGACTATAGGGACAAATAGTTATAGTCTCCCGTACCTTTTAGTCCCCCACACAACTGAAGGAATGGGCAGAGATGACCACGTGTGGGGATTCACTCTTACAGAAGCAACATCAAGAGTCTGTCTGTCCTTGAAATGTGTGCCACTTTTGATAATGAGCAACACCTTCCCAAAAATGATAATTCAAAGATCTGAGACTGTTGCCTGGAAACGGAAAAATTAGCTCCACTTTGCCGTGCCTCTATTCCAGGCTCGTCATAGTCCAGATTCAAATCAGGATTTGAGTCCTGGCCACCCGAGCTTCGATTAGACATTTGTTAGACGTTTAATATTAGTCCACAAGTCTAGCCTTCTGTACTTAGATTCAGTACTTACAGAGACCTTACCTTTACGCTCCTACTAGTCAATTTCAAAGTCATTTAGGACTGCATCAAGCAATATCATTTCATCATGCAGGTATATTGAAGTAGAATTAATCATGTGAGGAATAAATTGTGTGGATTTCTTTGTTGACCCATACAAACCTTATTGTTCATGAAAGCCTTCAAGCACTGGATAAGTTTGTGCTGGTTCCGTTTATCAATATTCTCTTGCCTGAGAAAAAACAAACAAAAAAAAACAATGAAAAGGGAATTGTGATTATATGAACACAACCCGGTACTATCACAATTACACAGAGAGGGGATGTCACAGGGGATCACTTACTGTTTCTTGTCCAGCAGCTTCTCCAGAGCATCCAGAAGAAGCCCGAGACCATCATGACCGAAGTTATTAACCCAACTAGAAGGGAGACACAGACACACAAAGAAAAACAGTTATGTATTATATTGTAATATCCAGTAAAAATCATTATTGCCCTGCTGGTTCATTGCAAACTATGTTGATTCACAGAAGGAAGCGAACACAAATATTCCACTAACCTCAAAAGAAATAAGTAATTCATAATGATATCAAAGGTTTAACAGTCACTTGGATACATTGACTGTTGCAGTTTTAAATTCCTAACAGGGGGAGCTGCAAATAAATTTGAATTTAAATTGTACCCATCTACAAGCAAATTAACATACATCCATCTTAACTAGCGTTCCCACCGCTAAGCAGTTTGTATCCAGGCCCCCCTGTGAGCTGCTGTGTTCCTGTGCCAAAAGATTAAGCAATGCAGGAAAGATAACACTGTAATCGATAATGGATTGCAAGAGATAATTGGCTATAAACCACAGCGTATCAAGAGACGGCAAATGATCCAGTACAGATGAGCCCGTTTGTCTAAGCCAGGAGCAGAGCGCGGCAGGAGGAGGGTTGGCAGGACAGTGTGGTCGCAGCCAGATTATGTCATTAGCATTACTCGTTTTCAGGCTCCCAACTGTCAATAACGCAAAATGCATGAAACAATTTTCTGACATTAATGGGGCATACGTCAAGGATTTAACCCGCCTTTTTGACAATGATTTCAAATAATAATGTCTGAGTGGTTTGAGTATTAAAGGCATTTGTATTGACTCAGTGAGTCGGAAAAAAAACCCTCAATTGGAGTGAGATGCATTAGCCTGAGGCAACTGGCAAAGTTGGGGTGAGGTTCTTTGATCTGTGACTAAGTTAGCACACGCTGCAACCCCCCAACCTACAATTACTCAAATTGTATTAACAGATAAGCTGAAGCAGTTTATAAATTATTGATATTTAGTGTAGTGTATAATGATGATCGGTTTTCTTAATAAAAACAAAACATCGTAATGTTGGAAATTTATGAATGTCTGTTTATAATGAACCTTCCAGTTTGAATGTTTCCTTCCATACTGGAATGCTTTGAGCATATAAGGCATAAAAGAAGAAAAGACAAACTGGCACTGTTTACAGCAGAATAATCATAGTTATATATATATATATATATATATATATATATATATATATATATATATCTGTGGTACGGAGGTGGTAGGAGTAAATGAGACATCAGGACAACAAAGACGGAAAGAACACAACACAGCTGAGGGAGCACAAATCAGTAGATCCACAGCCTCTGTTCATGCTCCTGATGGTAATGTCAGTCTTCAGAGAACAAGAAATGGAAGCGATAAATGTGAAGACAATCTTGGTTTATTACACGGTGTAACTGCATTATAAGATTCCGGGGAATGCGGTGTCACCTCCACACAAGAACAGCACTGGAAAGAAATAATTTGTCCTCTGAAGCAAGGACAAGTAGAGGTTCTACATTATTACCGTGCCATGCTGTGCTTCATGGTTATCACAGCAACGGTGTATAATATATGGTATGTTTCTCTATACCTTCAAAAGAGTGTGTATGTTTAATTTAATTCTATTTCTAACCATGTCGATCCTTTTTAACAGATATCTTATCTATTCATTTTGTAAATATGACTAAATTCTCACTTAAATGTAGGAGAATGTCTTTGTTGAGAGGATTCTGTCCTCACTGTGTGCTATCTAGTAATGCAACAGCTGGCTGAATATTCAGTTATATTTAGATTGTAGGGTTCCTATTCCATACACTTAAAATACCTTTAAAAATAAAGATTCGTTTTTCATTCTTTATTCTCTGTTTTTGGTGTAAAACACTAATAATTGACTCTCTTAAATTCATTTTAAAAATGATCGTGTTTTAAAGAGTTGATTATTATCTCCATAAAACTTTACTTCAGAATTTAAAAAAAATGAAGCAATAGGAATCTTCATGGTGATTTTCATGATGACCAGAACAGAGCAGGAGGGAGACTCTGGAGGAAAATTTGAGAAAGTGGACATCTGGTAGGTTTGGAAATGAGCTTTCGCGCGCGCGCGCGCGCACACGCGCACACGCACACGCACACACACACACACACACACACACACACACACACAGACCAGTCAGGGAACCCATCTATTGACTGGCTGCTGTGACTGAGAACCATTCCAGTGGAATGGAAGACATGGAAGAAGATTAATATCTTGAAAACAAACGTCTTGCAGCAAAACATCTGTACTGATGTTTTGCTACACGATGTTTCTTCACCGTTTCACAAAAAAAAGTCAGAAAGCTTAACTAATAACTACCTTCGACAGAGAAGTTGCACTAATTAAAACTGAATATTAATTGGAAATTTGGCAACAGATGTTTGTGGAAAATGTCTGCTGTCTGCTCCATGTTTACCTTCTCGCTGTTGTTGTTGGACTGAAACAGAATAGACGTAAAAGAAAGGAGGCACTGCGAGTGTCTGTGCAGAAAGTTTCTCATTTAAAATGTATGCCTTGCTGCTGTTTGCAACATAATGCGGTCGTCCTCAAGGTTTTGAAAGCACTAAATGCTCCGACTCCTCCCTACATCACAGACTGTCTATCATTTTCTGTCCCCTCACGTACACCCTTAGGTGCTCTGCAGCTTGCCTTCTAAATGTCCCCAAAGTTACCACAAAAGAAGAGGTATGGTCCTTCCACAGTGTTTGTCCTGAGGCGATGCAATGCTATTTCTCTGTTCATCTGAGAAATAGCCTCAGTGGACAACATACTATTTCAAGTAATAACTTAAAAAAACAACACCACTACTACTACTACTACTACTACTACTACTACTACTACTACGCCTCTTACTTGTCGTAGTAATTATGTACAAGCTCACAAATGATGAATGGGTATTCTAGTCAGGTAAACCTTGTTGCTTATAAAGAGCAGGGACACTCGTATTGTTGGGGGGGCCAAAGCGTTGACAATACTTGTTGCTCTTGGACAACAAAATATCAATGTATCATTTCAACATTGAAGGAACAAGAGGTTGCATCCGTTCCTCATCAGTCTCTTCTGCTAATGTGGGAACACATCCACGGATTTCATTAAGTTGGGGGAGAACTTGTTCATCCAATATTGATGGCTATAATCCTTTAGTGAAGTGCCACCAAATTGTGTTACTTTCTGCAATCATGTATATTCCGCAGGCAAAATTAAAAATTCATGATCGGTCTTAAGGGAGCAATTTCTTATTTTGTATGTAGTTTTATTTCTACTGGCTGGATGCAATTATGTTGTAGTTATGCTAACTGCTATCAAATGTATGCATCGGAAACATCACAGTTTAGCACATTTTTACTGGCAAGACGTGCTAAAGAACACTAAAGAACATTTCAGCCCCATGGAAAGTCCATTATGTTGTGGACTTGCTGTTAACTTTAGAGTCATAATGATCATCCGTCTTCCTGTCAAATGACATTTGTTCCCCAACAGACGAAAACGTTCCTGACTGTCTGCCATAACATATGTAGTTATGCATGAGCAAATATTCACCCATGCATTCAATCTCTATACTGCATCCTATCCAGGGTCACAGGGGACTACCCCATCATGCACTTCACGAGAGGCCGGGTACAACCTGGAGATGTCACCAATCTATCACGGGGCGACACACACACAGTCGGAGAGACGGAGGAAATATTGACGAAAACCCAGAACCTGTTAACTCCGGAAACACTCCAGATGGCCATCTTGCTGTGAGGTGACAGCGCTAAGCGCTGACCCATCACGAGAAAATATGTGCATGTATATTGGCATGACGGCACTGTACATATGTCTGTTTATATATTACAGGATTTCCAATTTAAGCAGTGAGACCTTAAATCATAAAAAATATCATATTGATCATATTGTGCGGTATCACAGCGTGGTACCGCTAGTGCCACTCCAGGCTGTGTTCAGTGTCTTGCTCAAGGGAATGCATGTAGTTACAGTGTATATAGAGCGCTGTATACTGATAAAAAGACAGACTCATAGCAAAAAGTGTGGAAAACAGTGTAGAGTGCGTGTGGAGCTCTGCAAAAACTTGGCAAGAGCAATGTTAATCCATGACGAAATGTTACTGCGCATCGCCAGCCGCAGTAAGTGACTCAACAGCGACAGAAACAGCGAGAGGCCGACACCCTCTCACCCTTTGTTTGACTGATGGCTGGTCTCGTGTTTAGATGGCTTGTCAGCGCATCGATTTCAGTCTATGGGCCAGTGTTATTATTTTATCATGGCTAGATGGGGAGCTTTTTTATTGAAAGCTTCTGTGCAAGCGCAATATCTTTCATATTGTATTACAGGCAAAGCCATACAACTGTCCCTCTGTGTGAGTACTGACCTATTCGGTGCTGCAGTTTTCCAAATGAAGGCCAACGCTCGGTGCAACAAAGAGCTCTGAAGAGTATAGCTGGAAACCAAGCACCAGCAGTGTCTGCGTAGTGATTTACCATGCCAAACATGGAGCTACATTATACTCTGATCAATTTAATAGCCTGCTGAAACAACAATAATGCACAGGGCATATCAGATGGCAGAAATTGGATATAAAATATTTACAATATTGTTGTGTTTATCACATCTCGAAAAAGAATATGTTTCACACAACAGCTATTAAGAGGAAGCAGCTTTTGTTTTTCCTTCTTCTAATGTTTCCTTTAGAGCTTCGATTTATTTGATTAAAATCTAATTTTGTCCTAATAATTTCAGAACTAAAGGTTGTGGCCGAACTGTTATATGAATCATATAAGATACGTGGTCACACAGGATACATCTTATCAGTGCAATCACACTAAGCTAGTATAATGAAATCATTCACTTGTGTGCTGTTAATTTGCTGCTTTGAGCTGTGCATCTTGGTGCCTTTACATTTCAGACTCTGAGTTCGCTAGTTTGATTAATTCATCCCACATCCTAGCTATGAAACTACATGAAACCTGTAAGCATCCACTAACAAAGGCCAGCAGGAGACCTTAGATTTTGTAAGAAAATAAATATCTATGTATATATTTTTT